CACTCTGGAAAACGTAATCGCTCTTGACTATCTAATCACTCTTGACTATCTTATCACTCTTGACTATCTTATCACTTTTGCAACCTAATCACTCTGAAACACCTGTTCACTCCTGACCACCTTATCACTCTTGACCACCTAACCTCTTTGGACCACCTAATCAATCTTGACCACCTTATAAACCTCTTGACCATCTTATCACTCTTGACCACCTAATCTCTCTTTGCCATCTAAGCACTCTTGAGAACCTAATCACTGCTGACCACCTTATCACTCTTGGCCACCTTATCACTCCCTTGACCACCTCATCACCCCCTTGACCAACTTACCATCCCCTTGACCATCTAATCAGTCTTGACCACCTTATCACTCTTGACCACCTTATCATCCTCTTGACCACCTTATGAGCCGATTGACAACCTTATCACTCTTGACCATCTAATCACTCTTGACCACCTAATCACTCTTGACCATCTAATCAGTCTTGACCACTTAATCACTCATGACCACCTAATAACTCTCGACAACGTAATCACTCTTGACCATCTAATCACTCTTGACCTTCTAATCACTCATGACCATCTTATCACTCTTGACCACCTAATCACTCTGGACCACCTAATCACTCTTGACCACGTAATCACCCTTGAGCACTTAATAACATCCTTGACATCCTTATCACTCTTGACCACCTTATCATCCCCTTGACGAACTAAACACACCCTTGACCACCTAATCACTCTTGACCATCTAATCACTCTTGACCATCTTATCACTCTTGACCATCTTATCACTCTTGACCACCTAATCACTCTGGAACACCTAATCACTCCTGACCACCTTATCACTCTTGACCACGTTATCACTCTTGACCAACTTATCACCCCCTTGACAACCTAATAACCCCCTTGACCATCTAATCACCTCCTTGACCACATAATCACTCTTGATCACCTAAACACTATTGACCACCTTATCACCCGCTTGAACATCTTATCATTCTCGACCTCCTCCTTGACCACCTTATCACCCCTACACCATGTAATCACTCTTGACCACCTAATCACTCGACCACCTAAACACACTTGACCATTAATCACCCCTTTTACCATCTAATCGCCACCTTGACCATCTAATCACTCTTGACCACTAATCACTGTTGACCACATAATCACTGTTGACCGCCTAATCACTCTTGAGCATCCTATCACCCTTGAGCATCTAATCATTCTTGCCCATCTAATCACTCTTGACCACCTAATCACTCTTGACCACCTAATCACCCTTGACCACCTTATCACTCTGTGCCACCTATTCATTCCCTTGACCATGTTATCACCCCCTTGACCACCTAATCACCCCCTTTGATCACCTAATCACTCTTGACTATCTAATCACTCTGAACATCTAATCAGTCTTGACCATCTAATCACAGGATAGTTTAAATCGACCTTTTGATATAAGGGCCCAACCTAATGTTATTTCTTTCTTTTCCAGGAAGGGAGCTGATTTTCATTGGCGTATACAGTTTTAATTTCTCCTGGACATATGCTGGCACTCATGACCATGTCAACTACACAAACTGGGCACCAAGGCAGCCTCATTTACCATTCTTTGCCGCTCTGAGTAGATCCTCCGGCTACAAGTGGGTGACAACAGACCAGCACGATAAAGTCAGCTGGATTTGCGCAAAACCTGATAAGTAAAAAGCAAGAAGTGTCTGTACCAAGCCGAACGGAGGATACGATGTATTTGAAAAGACAGTTGAGCAAATATGATTATTTGCCAGTTCCAAATGGAAATCAAGGTGTTTTGTGTTTCCGAATGATAAGTGAGTTAAAATAGATGCAAGCAAAACATTTGTTTACTTTGACGTTTAGACATGTGAAAAACGAACCTGTTCTTCAAATGCATTAACATATTGGTCAAATATTCTGGAACTGAATTTCTTTAAAAGTTAAAATAAAACTTGGACTGGCCTCCGTGTTGAGAGTACATAACAACGGTTTTGAAAATTCACTGGTTAACACTGTGTGAAAAGGGTTGTTCCTTGTTTCAATGTCGCACTCAGCAATATTCCACCTACATAACGGTTGATGACAATACTCGTAACTCGAGCAAGCACTTCATTTAAGGAATAGATATCACTATCACAGTGAAAGCACGAGGGCGCTTGCGTTATAACGGTTCCGGGCAAAACTGTACTTTATTATCCAAAACACAAGGGGATAGAGCGAACTACTCTTTCTTAAGATGATAAGATGCCATAAACAAATTACGTGCTGCTCGGGTGTGTCTGCCCTCTTTGTTAAGATGCCCGTTACCAAATACTTGTTAAGATGCCCGTTGCCAGTACTTGTTAACATGCCCGTTACCAATACTTGTTAAGATGCCCGTTACCAATACTTGTTAAGATGCCCGTTGCCAGTACTTGTTAAAATGCCCGTTACCAAAACTTGCTAAGATGCCTGTACCAATACTTGTTAAGATGCCCGTTGCCAGTACTTGTTAACATGCCCGTTACCAATACTTGTTAAGATGCCCGTTACCAAATACTTATTAACATGCCTGTTACCAATACTTCTTAAATGCCTGATACCAATACTTGTTAAGATGCCCGTTCAGATACTTTTTAAGATGCCTATTACCAATACTTGTTGAGATGATGTTACCAATACTTGTTAAGATGCCTGTTACCAATACTTGCTAAAATGCTAATTAAAAGTACTTGTTAAGATGGCCGTTACCAATTACCAATACTTGTTAGGATGCCCGTTACCAATACTTGTTAAGATGACCGTTGCTAGTACTTGTTAAGATGGCAGTTAGCAGTACTTGTTAGGACACCCGTACCAATGCTTGTTAAGATGCCCGTTACCAATGCTTGTTAAGATGCCTGTTACCAATATTGTTAAGATGCCCGTTAGTAGTACTTGTTAGATGAACGTACCAGTACTTGTTAAGATGCCCGTTACCGCTTAACAGTACTTGTTTAGATGCCTGTTACCAATACTTGTTAAGATGCCTGTTACCAATACTTGTTATGATGCCTGTTACCAATACTTTTCAAGATGCCCGTTACCAATTACTAGTACTTGTTAAGATGCCCGTTACCAATACTTGTTAAGATGCCCGTAACCAATACCTGTTAGGATGCCTGTGACCAATACTTGTAAAGATGCCTGTTACGAAGTACCTATACTTGTTAAGATGTCTGTTATGAGTTCTTCTTAGGATAATCGTTACCAATACTTGTTAAGATGCCTGTTACCAGTACTTGTTATAATGCCCGTTACCAATACTTGTTACGATGTCCGTTACCAATTACCAATACTTGTTAAGATGTTTGTGACCAATACTTGTTAAGATGTCTGTGACCAATACTTGTTATAATGCCCGTTACCAATACTTGTTACGATGCCCGTTACGAATGCTTGTAAATGGAGGATCCTTACCTTTCAAGAAGTAGTCATGAGTACATCTGGAATGGTATATCTACAAACGGTACTGCCCATCTGTGGCCTTACCAACAACCATTGAGGAGACAATTTGCTTAATTGCTTTTAATTTTTTTTTGTGTGTGGCTTTATTGGCTGTTGAGTACATGAATTTAAAAACTGTACAACAGTACGAGATATGTTGGTACACAAACTGTGGTGGATTTGGGATTTGAGATACCCATGATCACATCAATGAACACACACTGTGCAAAGATGGCATTGGTAATGGTCCTACAAGGATAGTTAAATGTCCTCAAAAAACTGGTAATATTTACCAGCTATCATATTTGCAAAGGGTCACCATTACTGAAGAGGCCTTGTTTAGGCAATCCTCCTGTATCTTGTTGAATGTGATAGGAGCCTCTGCCCTTTGTACACAATGTTGTATATAGTCTTATAGCAAGATCATCCTACAACACAAACATCTACCAAGCAACACATCATTACTAAACCAAGGTACGCTGTACAACATTCAATGGACATGATTTAACAACCAATGTGAAATAACATGGTGCTTAAAGTATAACATTAAGTACACGGCAACCTGTATTCACTTCATCAGTTACATACAGTTTACTCCAGATCAGAATTGTGTGACCTAAGAACTTTATAACAATCGCAGTAAAACCAACAGAAACTGAGATTCCTTACAACTGTATTAAACACGACACAACAGAAACTAATGCTCACATAAATAGTTCCATCTTCAAATACGACAATATGGATGAGCATTACAATGGACAGTCTTAATTTGTGTCTTCATTCCTAACAGTTGACAAAGTGATTGACCATGTACTAAGCCTGCTATGTTTAGCTAGGTGGTGAGGACATAATAGATTCTCACAATTGTCAACATACGTAAGACCCGTGAAGTTCCGAGTTAGAATTCGATCTTCAGGAACCCATGCTTGTCGTAAGAGGCGACTAACGGGATCGAGTGATCAGACTCGATGACTTGGGCGACGCTTGTCATCCTTTTCCAATTATGTAGATCAATGCTGATCACTGGATTGTCTGGTCCAAACTCGACTATTTATAGACCGCTACCATAAAGCTGTTATGTTGTGTGGAGCGCTTTACACAACACATAAACAAAATATACTACTTTTAAACTATACAGAAAAAGACAACAAATATGAGCATTAACACAGGCCTGTGGTTGGCACGAGGGTGCTTGGTCTTCGTGGGCAGCAGCAACAGCAGCGGGATGTGACCTCAGCTCTCTCGGCGTAGTCACGACAACAAACAATGTATTGCTGTAGGAAACTTAATATAACTGGAGTATTATAGCAGTGTTAAATTAATTACTCATTATTCGAACTACTACTTACAATGATTCACATTGCATACAAATCTCGGAGTTACCTAATTATCAGGGGCGTAGCTACCATTATGAAAAGAGCTTGGGCCTACACATGATTTTGTCTATGAAAGTGGGATAAGCCCTCAATACTATCTAAAATATAAAGCTTTGCACCCTATCGGGCTTAACGAAACACTTGGCTTGCTACGCGCCTGATTATAATAACTTCGCATTCACTCAATACATCATTATTAAAATGATTTAAATGCAAAAAACAAATGAACCTACTAGGCTATCTACCTACTATAGGTGCTTCAGCAACATCAATGTCGACTATACAAAGTAATTCTCCTTGAGGGGGCTGTGGGGTAGCCTGGTGGTTAAAGCGAGGGTTTGTCAAGCTGAAGACCCGGGTTCGATCCCCACATTGGTACAATGTATGAAGCGCATTTCTGGTGTCCCTCGCCGTGATATTGCTGGAATTATGCTAAAAGCAGCGTAAAACCATATTCACTGACTCACTCAATAAACATTCGCACAGATAGAAGAAATAGATGGATATATACTAAGCAGCAAAAGAAACGTCAGTTTGGAATTTTCCTTCGCAGAAACGGATAACTGTAAACTCATGTAATGTTTTGATTGTATATATTTGACAACATCTCCAACTTTACCTGAGCATAGACATTCCTTCCCAAACTCAGAATGGAACCCAGGAAATGGTCTCAAAAACGCAACCTGATCTCGGAGATGGTACAGTGTTGTCCATGTTTTTCATGCAACTCATGCTGCACGTTCTGTTCATAAGGACCAGCCAGATTAAATGCACCCCAAACCTGGTTGAAGCATTCACATTACAACGTCAGCAGGATGCCGCGACTCACGACAGCTCAGAGGAACCAGGCGCTAGGAAGACTTGAAGCTGGCCACACTGCACAAGTCGTTGCCAATCATTTCTAGGTCAACGTTAGGACCATCTACAGGCTGTAGCAACGTTTCCGGGCCACCAACTCCACACATTATCGCCCCGTACTGGCACACCAAGGGTGACCAAAAGACGACATGACCGCCATGTTGTGTGACAGCATGTACAGAATCCCTTCATGTAGGCATCCAAAACAACACGTCAGACAGTGGGAACACATGGAAGACCAATCAGTACTGATACGGTACGCCGGTGTCTTAACAGCGGGAACCTCTATGGCCGTAGACCTTACTGTAGATCTATCCTCACCCCTCGACATCGGCGTGAACGTCTACAGTTTGCCTTACAACACCCAAACTGGCGACGAATATGGCGACGACGTGGCCAATGTGTTATGGAAAGAGACTCATGGGGAGGTGCAAGCATCATGGTATGGGTTGGAATAGGCCTGAACCGGAAAATGGGTCCTGTGGTTTTCAAGAACCTTGGTCAAAGGACTTCACAGCGGTACGTTACATCGACCAAGCTCTCAGACCCCACGTCATACCACATTTTGCACGTCACCGGAACAACATTTTCAAGCATGATAACGCCCGGGCCCATACTTCCAGAGCTACACGGGATTTCCTACAGCAGAACGGTGTCAACATTATGCAGTGGCCGGCCCTGATTCCACATTTAAACCTAATTGAACATCTTTGGGATGAAATTCAGAGGAGACTGAATAATGTCATACCAAGGCCAAACACGGCCGATTTATTGCGCCAGGCCTTTCTCAGAGTGTGGTTCCAGGTACCAATGGCCTTCATCAATCGATTGGTGCGCTCCATGCATAGACGCTGTGCTGCAGTTATTGCCGCTCGTGGTCGACACACTAGTTACTGAAGTCAAGAGTCTGAATGGACTGGAAACGTTCACGTGATGTCTTGGAATTGTGCTGAGTTATTTATTGATGTGCCAGAATATTGTACACAAAAACTGTTTTTCATCCGCTTATTATGTCCATTTCTGTTATGATTTGATTACAGTGTCTATCTAATTTTGAATTCGTACTGACCTTTTTTCCTGCTGCTAAATATTAAAGGTGCTTAAATATAATTAACCATCACTTAGAATAAACATGTTATATCATTATAAAATGCATAGCATTAGCTAACAACTCTATACATTACAACTGTAACAATCAATGTCCAAAGATCTGTTTGTCAAAATATTAACTGTCTTCTCAAAATATCAAGTGTAAGATTGTTGAAACAGTACAGTGTAAGTAAATCAACGAAGACAATCCTGAAGTCCACCAGATATATATTTAGAAACGATTGATACCTTAATATGAACCTAGAGTTATAAAAGAACCTGAATGAGATGATAATATTATCAAAGGCAAACGTTATGACACAAACAACAAACATGATCAGTGTTAACCTTGTATTTTTTATGAGGCTGTGTTATACTAGGTGCTGCAGTGTATAAACTGTTATACATTGTACCTGCAGTATCAGTAAGGGGCAATGGTGTGCTATGTGTAGACTTTGCCACACTTAAACAGAGTAATATAGAATGATCTGGGACAGGATAGAAGTGTCATCTACCTTAGAGAGGTATAAGTAACTCTTGCCTCTCATTCACATTACATCTCAAGTCCGAAGACCCGGGTTCGAATCCCCACATGGGTACAATGTGTGAAGCCCATTTCTGGTGTCCCCCGCCGTGATATTGCTGGAATATTGCTAAAAGCGGCGTAAAACCAAACTCAGTCAGTCAGTACATCTCAAGCCACAAGGAGGATAGTCGCTACACTACTTTGGAATTTTATGAATTGCTTTACTCGTCTCGTTTGTATCGGAGGTCAAACATCTAATCCTTTACCAAGTTTAGATGATGTTGCTGTTAATGGACAAACTGCAAATCAATTCTTAAGAATGTGTAACTCCGAGTAGTAGGGAGACCGAGTTAATATTTAATGGCACATAGGATATATTTCAAGCATATAGTAACACAACCGGGCTGAGATGGATACACTTTCTCAGTAAAGTACAGATTCTAATACTGTTTGTTGGGTTGAGTCCCATAGGGGATTCGAACCTATATCCTCAGAGTCAGGTACCTTAACCTTAAAAAAATGAAAGCATAGGTGGTTGGACGGGTGAGATGGCTGACGTTGTAAGCTGAGAAAGTGTAATCCCAAATCTAACATATGCTACATTTGACCACTTTGTAAATGGTATTCTGTATTCACAGGTTTACACATACACATAAGTCCATGTTAATTCAAAGTATATTATAAGGCATTTCCTTTTTAACACATTTCAAAATTGCGTAAAATTTAAACCACACTAACGTGTACAATTAAAAACAAGCTTAAGCAATTACACACATCCATATCTACAATTCATGACACACCTATTTCTTTCAAGTTACATAATGCCATTCAGAAAGAAATGTCATCATTTCAAGTGGTTGATAAACGGATGCCCGCTCATACGGTTAACGGATCTTTCCGATTAACTGCTTAATAATGTGTGTTCAATGTATTACAGTGCAAATATTTCTTCATACATTTTTATATTTTTCACAAATTATTCTTAACGAAGGAAATCTGTATAGGTGCAAGTCTCTGTGCATAGTCTGTCTTGTTTAAAGCCCGCATGTCAAGCGCAGTAGTAGTCAATTAGCAAACGCGTCCACTCCAACCTTAAACTAATTAATCAAAGATGAAGTTATTGAGCTGTGTCTGCACCGGCCTTTCTTCACGGGTACATCCCTTGGTCAAGTGCAGATAAGTAGTCCCATCCCAACAGGAGCATATCTACCACCAACTAAGTCGTAATCGAAAATCAACTTTTGTTGAACAAGATCGAGATTACCTGCGTGCCATTCTCTTTGTCCTGTCGTAAATGCCATGGTCAAGCACTGACAGATATTTTGGCGTAAGCTGACCGTGGCTACACCATAAAGAAAATCAAACCGTGTTAGATAATCATCTTCTTACCACCTACCTCGTGAAGTAAACCTTGTCAGCATAGCGTAGATAACGCATATGGAATCTCCAACTTTATAGAAACTTGATAATGACCAACGAGTAGAGCTGTGGGTTATATAATCCTGGGTTCTTCCATCTCAGGACACTTGCTTGAATAAACCCAGGAACTCACAGCTCTGCCTCCTTTCTTGTTTCAAGATAAGAAACATTTAAACTTTATTCTTGTTTATGTCTAACTTGTTATTTCTTTGTAATCATTGTCTAGAATATGTTAGAGTTAGGTTTGAAATATTCCCACGATATTGCAGCACTTTTTAAATACCTATCGTTGTAAATGCTAGTTCTAGGTAACCGATAATTCTTAGGCACTATCCAGGGATATTTATTTATTGCGTCGTGGGCTCCTCAAGTTTTATGTTTTTCATGAACAAACGAATATTTCTTTTCTATGTTTCGACACACATGTGTGTATTCCCAGTCCTTGTCTAGTTTCATTCATGTTTGCGTGTTAGATCTGTACATGCAAGTTAGATTCCCGTTCAGTGGCCTAGATTCTAGTAGCTCAGTCACAAAATCAGTTCCGAGAGTTTATACAATCATTTCCAGCAAAGACGAAGTTGTATGTATTTTACAATAGTCCACCGATCAAATGATATTCGTGTAGATTTACCTCAGATACGCGCTCACGTGATAGGTATAACAGCCAACGTTTGTGTTTTGATATTTCACCAGCTAAAGGTCGTCCTAACGGACACAAGGCAAAAGCTGTCTTACATGCAACTTAAAAGGTCCAAACAGTCAAGAACAATCTGCTTGAAGTGGAACCTTTCATCACAAAGGATCGATACATTTAGGAACGTCGTCCTCAGCTGCTTTATGGGATTAATACGATTTCCCTATGTTGCCGCTGGCAACCCAGGTAGGTATCACCGTTTGTTGGTATACATTCATGAAGCTTATTGATTCTTTCTTGGGTGTCCTACCTATTTTGCATACTATTCCCAGGATAGATTTTGAAAGCTGGTTTGCAATCACTTTGTGGGATAAGCAGCGAAGATGTCGGTTAGTCAAGAGCTGGTTAACAACAACGTGGGCTTTTGTGTCACCTGCTATGTTAGTGAGCGAGTGTAGTTTTACGCCGCTTTTAGCAATATTCAAGCATTATTTGGGGACACCAGATATTGACTTCACACACTGTTCCCATATGAAGAATCTAACCCGGACTTCGGCGTAATGAGCGAACACTTTAACCACTAGGCTACCCCACCGCCCATGCTATGATAACATGACCTGGCTAGCTATTCTCGAAACTTCTTAAGTCCTACGAACTTCTTATGCCCATTCTTAACACATTGGCTACGATCAAAGTTAAGAATTCTTAGGGCTACGAACGATTCGAGAATAAGGGCCCTGGCAACTAGCACTTCGTATGTGCACTTTGTGACCGCTATTCACAAGGTGCACAAAGATCTTAAAGAATCCTTCAGAATTTGTAACTTGTTGCTTGATCAGTTCCTTATACAGGACCGAGAACTCCATAAGAAGGTTCTTTGAGAGGAATTTTAGAAGTTGTAAAGATGAAGGAAAACCAAGTTCTATGGAAAGTCAATGTACATCAACCATGTTTATTGTTTATACTCACTATGCAGCTATGTATTCTCCTTGTTACAACTCTGTGTATCACTTGCTTGATAACGGTGTTAGTACCTACTCCGAAACGTCACACTCATTGCAATAAAGAAGTTGACTATCCGTAGAACTTGGTTTTCCTACATATTTTGCAGTTAAGATTGAAATGGTAAGTTGATTTGAAATGATAATAAAGTAAATTTTTACATGTAGATGGCATCATGAGCAGCGCTATACACAGCTTGAAGACGGCAGGTTTCCGTAACGTCATCGAGGCTGGCCAACCATTCCCGCAGTCATCACCACTCGCCCGTTCCCTTAACCTCCATTCGGCATGTCCCGGAATAACACGAGTTGGTCACGAAGGCCATTCCCGTTAGCCTCTCGCATAAAGCATGATCAACATGAACCAGGGAAGTCCACGGGGCAGTGCTCAGGGGGGTGGGGCGACAAGTGACTGAAACGTTCGTAAAATATTGCGTACAATGGACGTGGAATCCCAAATTATTACATTTGACCTATTGCTAAATGGTATTGTGGATTTTACTGAGGAAATGTAATCTCAAAAATACCATACGTTATATCTGGCAACTTTCTCAAACACATTGTGTATCACAGCGTAGGAAATGGGAGCCGTACCAATACTACCAGTTTACACATGTCAGAGTTTATTCGCGCTTCTGTGTTACCCACAAAACGTTTTGTGTTCCATGTTCCTCTAACATTCAACATCAGGTCAATTGTTTGGCGTACAAAGAATGGTTATGCTATTCTCGCAATACAACTATGCGTCGTCAGGCGAACAATTTACACAGCAGAGGCTACCAGTGGAAGGCGGCGAAGTCAGGTTGACCCCCAGCTCAAAAGAGACAGGCGAGAAAGCCGTGACACAATGTAAACAAATCTTCATTTCGGTTAGGGTCAACCGAAATAGCAAAACATGTTACATGAAAGAACAATGTGGCGGATATTGTCCCCTTCGCTCTTAGATATTCTTCAATTTGTCACACATTTTAGGATGTTTTAAGTTTTATAAGTACAATCTGAAGGCCTACAGTATTTTGTTAACAGAGCAAAATATTCGAGGAGTAATATTTTCTATTCAAACGGAAATATTGTCAGTGTCAGCAGTTGCCTATCATGCAATATCCAAGTATCAAAATTAGTTCTTATGAGTGCCTACAAAACCATGCTTTAAATATTTCAGATTTTTTATAAAGAATTGCATGGGACTTTGAACTGAATTACCTTCCTCCAGGTTGATCGAATACGAAAACTATGTGAGAAGAATAGTGACTTTCTGGAGTATTGGACGGAGTGAAATAAAGTGTATATCTTAATTATGAGAGCATTATTTGAAGTTTTGTTACCACATATATTATTCACATATAATGGTACATTTTAGGAGTAATATTACAACTGTAATTTTGATTAATTCACTGGAAATGATATCACGGTATGTTTTCAGAATCTTGCCTTTTTTAGTAAACGTCGAAGGGTAATAAAATTAATAATAATCTAATCAATAATAAATAAATATTTAATTGATTGACATATCAGATGTTTTAGATTTTAAGGCAGAACTAAGCAAACAAACACCATACATATTATGGCAGGACAATCACTTGGTATTAACTTAGTTTCTTGGCTCCTGCTTTTAGATGGGTTTTTTAAATACTACATTTACTAATAAGATAATTCTGAAAGTGATTGCTAGTATCATAACTCATTAAAGTTATTTCAACATCCAGAAAATTTGAAAAAGCAAAGGCTACGTTTTGGTCAAACCCTGGTCAGGCATTATGTAGTCCTGGAACAGAATAACTTACAAAAATCTCAGGTGACTTTTCATGTAACGGAATAAAGATTGAAACATATATTTAACCCATATTTGATGTAATTGTTCTGATAAATCATAGGTTTTATAGGAGGTTACTACTATTTGAAGACTGAGCAAAAGCTAGTGTTTATTAAGATGGTGGATTTCGACAAATTGTTCAAGGTTTGTTGATGGTTATTTGCAAAATGAGCTTCATATTAAATGGCACACTGGTTTGTAGGAGGTGAACGCTTCAGGACATTTTCATGTCTGTTTTCCTAAACCTTTGTTACGACTTTTACCAAATTTTGAATCAACTTTACTATAATTTTTATGACACCAGTAAGTATCTCAGAAAAGGAAATAGATCAAAATCAGTGTTATGTCCTCTAGGGATATGGTCTCAGATCTAATAAAACTAAGATTATCATTGTTTAATTAAGAAGCAATAATTGTATTGACAGAAGGCTTTGAACATAGGATATATTCTTTGCACCTTATTTACACTAGTAGTTAGCAGTTAAACATCTCTGATGAAAAAACAATAGATCTACATTTGTATTTTGTGTAACATTCTATTTCAATGCTAGTTAATTGTTCGAATAACTGTGGATTCTCTGTTCCAAAATTTTGCATCACGTTTCCTATTTCTGGAAGATGGGTCAGCTAGTGTACAGGTGCAGACTGTATCTTGGATCTTCTTTGTGTTCTGGTGCTGTGATATACCTGTACATAAACGCTGGCAGTTCATGAAGTCCAGTATCGTGGAAGTTTGTATGTAAATTAGGATTCCACAAGAAAGTACATATAGAAAAATTAAATGGAAATGATGATTAAAAAAATTATTTCCTTATATTCAGTGTCATTTTATCATAGTGTACAGATTTTGAAGAGAGAAACTTTACTGAGAGTTGCTGCAGATCAGCTGTTGAATATTTGCTTCTGGGTATGTCCAGATACGTCCATGGAAACATATTGTTTACAAGCCCAACTTCTCCAGATTTCCAAATAAGATCAAATAGGTTATGCTGTGATTGATTTGTTTACATTAATTGTACAGAGAAATAAGGTACATGAAGTTGTAGACGGGAAATATTTTCTGCTTTTTATTTACCATTCTCTTAATTCATTAAAAGATAGAAACCCATGTTTTCAGATTATTGAACTAAATTTGAACAACGCAAACGGATAAGAAAAGGCGCCACGCGCAGTGTTGATAATCTATTTATAGATACCGAAACGATGTGCAACATGACCATGTGGTGTTCACGAGTTTAAAAAAATTATAAACCAAAACAACAAAATTCAGTTATCCTTTCCCTGCTAATATCTGTGACGGAGGTGAATTGCCAGATAGATTAATTGACTCGAAAGAAATTACGCTTCCTACAGTCTCAGCAGCTAGTCGAGACGCTTTTTCATCGGTCATGTAACTCATTTTCACTCGCCAGTTGTAATCTGCCAGCTAAAATACATGTATATTAAAAATCACATACGTATAACTTGCCTCTTTAAATAACATTCACAAACGACGGATACCAAAGTATCACAAGCAGAATTCATCAACAACGTTCGCAATCACGTAACGTTTCGCCGGCGGTGACGCCATTGTGATTTGCCAGTGGTTGTCCCCCCCCTAACGTAAAAAACGTAGTGGGCAGGGCTTATCGGCCGAGACTGGATCGGTCTATTCTCATTGCAACATAAGGTAGAACGTTTTAAAGTTCTGTTTCTGTTGTTGACACAACTTAATGAATAATTGAGTTTTTCCGGAAATCTGTCATTTTAAAGCCGATAAACAGTCACACAGTCTCCATAAATAATACTTGATGCCAAACGTTTCCGCCTAAAACCCGAACCGCATCCGGCACTGACACTGACAGCTACAATGAAACTAATATTTTGGTGGATCACACTGCGTATGTGTCTGTGTCATCAGCCCCCAAACCCTTTCCTGCGTCATGAAAGAATCCCATTTCAACTGGACAGCCGAACGTCCGATCTGTTAGGTCCTGTCTTCAGCCACGTCAGCAAAGTAAAGTGTACCCTGGTATGCTTTGAAAACATCTCCTGCACATCTGTGTCCTAGTGGAAGAGTGAGGGGAAGTGTAGAACTACTACCGCACCACAAGCACTTGCTGAACAAGGTGGGCATGGCAATGCCACCATACAAGATCCAAAGACCAACAAACAAGATCCAAAGAGCAACGCAACCATACAAGATCCAAGGGTAAACAGACACGATTCAAAGGTCAACAGACCAGATCGCAAGGTCAACAGACCAGATCCAAAAAACAAGGTCACCAAACAGGATCCAAAGATCAAGGTCTACTATGGCGTTCTAAGAAACGTGAGTAACATCATTGTTGTTATTCAGAACTGAATGTGGTCAAGGGCGGTGGAATGTTGTTTGTTGTTGTTTGGTGTTCAACACAATATTCCAGCTATACGGCGGCTTTCTGTAAATAATCCAGTCTGAACCAGACAAGCCAGTGGTCAACGGCATGAGAATGGGTCTACGCATTTGGGATACATATGCTAACCAATTCACCTTGACCACCCGATCCCGTTAGTCGTTTCTTGCAACAACCATGGGTTACTGAAGACCAATTCTAACCCGGATAAGGGAGAGAGAAACATACAAAACCTTGCATACGAAAGAATAGAGGTGCGGTGAGGTGAAATTGGCTTTAACGTCGTGCTTGAGAGTATCTCGCTCCTATGACGACGTGCATGCCTGTGTATGTGTATGTGCGGCTGCTTGTACTAGCCCAGACTGAGGCTGATTTTATAGTGCTAACCCACTGAGAAACCATGCCGCAGTGAAGCATGAATACCCCACTCAGACACATTATACTAACTCCGATCCGACCAGTTCTTGTTGTACCCATTAATGCCGAGCGCCAGACAGTGACCAGCAAGTAATATATTTTCACGTCTTTTGGTATGACACGAAAGAATAGACTTGAGCACTGTTGTGTGAGTACTGCGACAAATGAAGGTCTCATTTGGTCCCTGTTCCTGAATTGTAATCACTTATAAGCGATGCATCCTGACGAGCCAAAGGCAACGAGTATATGATGTTTGCATGTTTCATGTATGTCGCGAGTTGTCCTTGATGCTCGTGTGGTACCTGCTACAAGAACAGACAACAATCCCCCTGCCCAGTTCCGCTTGATCGCAGTGAAATTCTAGTTTTAAACTGACTCACAACACACCCTGCTCATACACGTGCATGGAACCCACTCTAGAGTTGATCTTTACAATATGGTGTCCTGACTATTGTTTCTGCCAACCACTGACGTTCACTAAGAGATTTCGGTGAGTAATACCTGCGTGAGGTAAACCTGTGTGAGTGAGTGAGTGAGAGAGTAAGTGAGTAAGTGAGTAAGTGAGTAGGCTTTTACACCGCCTTTAGCAATATTCCAGCAATGTCACGGCGGGCGACACCAGTAAAGGTCTTCCAAAACTGTACCCAAGTGGAGAATCGAACCCGGATCTTAGGCGTGACGAGCGAACGCTTTATCCACTAGGCGTCTCCGCCGCCCGAGATTATGTAATATGCCCTCTGAACCAGTAAACTTACTACAAGTAGTGATCTAAATATGTTTTGTCAATTTATTTGTTTGTTTAACGCCACACTCAGCAACTGTCGAGTTGAATGACGGCGGTCCGTAAAAAATCCAATTTTCACAGGTAATCCAGTGACTGACACGTCGATCCACTTACATGAACTATATTTAAATCGATGTGCAGAGGATGTAT